ACTTGTGATCCTTGTACCTCAGCCTCCTCAGTTGCTGGGGTTATGGGCATGTACTACCATGCTCAGTGATTTTTTTTCTTTTTAAAAGCTGGGTTTTAGGCCTTTTTATTAGGAGCAAAAGTTTTTCCCTGCATGATGAAAGAAAAATTACGGATTAGCTATTTTAGAGAATGACCTGTTCTTTAGATATAAAGTAATGATATGGAGAATAGGACAGGATAAAAGAAAAATTCTGGGGAGAAGTGTCTTTTTGGGGAAGGTATGATTAAATAGGAAAGGAATATTTTCCCTTTGAGCTAGGATTGTATTTGTAGTGGGAAACTTCCGTAATTGCAGGATGGGTGTTACTTTGATATTATTCTCCATTCCTTAGATTTCCATGAGGACAACTGACAAGCACCTGAATGGACTCATTTTAGCTGCTTCAGTGTGTGGAGCCATTACTTGCTCCTTTGTTTCTTGCACCTGGTGTGACAGTGGCTACTGAGCACCATGAAGGTTGTCCCAGAGAAGAATGCTGTCCGGATACTCTGGGGCCGGGAACGGGGCACTCGGGCCATGGGAGCTCAGCGGCTTCTGCAGGAGTTGGTGGAAGATAAAACCCGGTGGATGAAATGGGAGGGCAAGGTAGGCAAACAGTTATTTTTGACATAGATTTGTAGGGATGACAGTAGAATGGGACTTTAGAATGGGTTAATGATAGAGAATTGAAATATAATTTATCTTGTATGGAACAATGGGAATATATGATTTGGGGAGATAGTTTACAAATTTTGAAAGAATGTAAAGACTAGAAATATTGTTGTTGTTTAGACATTTTTTCTGATGGTAATTTAGACTTATCTCTCTCAGTTTGTAACTTGATTATTGTCTCCAGCTTTTTTTTTAACCTATACTTATAATGAATTCTAATATAGAATGGTCCATGTGCTTTTGAGATAGGTTAAGCCATAGTTTATAAATATTTTAATTTTTTTTTTTTTTTGTCTCCTAGAGAGTAGAACTTCCTGATAGTCCACGCTCTACTTTTTTACTGGCCTTCAGCCCGGACAGGTACCTAGTCCTTATCTGTAATTTCACCTTAAGATTTGTGATAGCATCACTTTTTGTATGTTTGGGCTAGCTTGATCTTCCGAGTTAATCCTTAGAGGTTTTCTGAAACACTGTGTAAGTGGAACTTTGCCAGCTTAACATAAAAGAAAAGAAAGTAGATGAGCAGTGCTAACCAGAAAAATAATGGGAATATTAAAGGAAATTGTGAACATTAAAACTTGGAAAGTTTCTCAGTAACAAATCCTTTGCCTGGGTGATATTGGACACCGGTGGCATGATGGCCTTATCAGCTGCCAAAAAATATTTTATGAGATAATAAGTGTCACTTGGGAACAGTGTGGAAAAACCAAAGCTTTTAAAGATTAGAGCGTTTCTGTTGTACATAAATATGCTGCCTAATGCACAAGTCTTAGTTTCTTTCATGCTGGGATGGGAATAGTGTCAATTTTCTCTGTTGCCCAAAACTGAAAAAGTTTATTATCCTCCCACATGCTTCTTAATTTCATTCCTACTCTTTGATTCCCTAGGACTCTCTTGGCCTCCACCCACGTGAACCATAATATCTATATTACGGAGGTGAAGACTGGCAAGTGTGTTCATTCTCTGATTGGACACCGCCGCACTCCATGGTGTGTTACTTTTCATCCTACCATCTCAGGCCTTATTGCTTCTGGCTGCCTAGATGGGGAGGTTAGGATTTGGGATTTACATGTAAGTATTTTCTTAGGCTGCCCTTTTCTTTGGTATTCTTATTTGCCATTGGGTTCTTAAGTCTGGAAGAGCTAGCCATGGTCTCAAGGACTTCATCTGAGTGTGTGTAATCATTTCCCACTTAATGGATAGGCAATCTAATTCATAGTTTTCCATTCTGAGATGAAAAACTATTAGACTATCCTTCTACCTGCATATTGTGAGATAGAAGAGAAGGTTTTTAGATGTGTTCATGCTGGATTTCTAATGCCTTAGAGCTAAGAGCAGGATTGTACTGTACTCAGATCATGATTGTCAAAGCAGGATGTTCCTTGTCCTGTTGACTGGCCAGTGGGTTGGTTGTTCTGTACCATGTCACGCACCTCACTAGAGTTTTTTCGGGCTTCAGAAACAGGAACTGGGGGGAACTCTTGTTGCTTATAGATTGCAAACAACTTGAAGAACTGACCTGACAGTATTATTTGATACATTAGTGTCACTGTCAGATCACTGATCTTGAACATTATTGTATGAAGGACATATTTAAAGTCTGTCCTATTAAGTAATCATTTTATCTTAAATGGGTTGCTCATTTGTTTTTGTTTTTCTTTTGGCAGTGCTGGGGGTTGATCCCATTGCCTTGCACATGCTGGGCAAGTGTTGTACAACTGAGCTACACCCCAGCCCCACATGGACTGATCTTGAAATTAACTTCCCAGTCTATTAGCAGTTTATAATCTGAAAATATTTGGGCTTGGTTCATTTGCAGGGTGGTAGTGAAAGCTGGTTCACAGATAGCAACAATGCCATTGCCTCCCTGGCTTTTCACCCTACGGCTCAGCTCCTGCTGATCGCTACTGCCAACGAGATCCACTTCTGGGATTGGAGCCGACGGGAGCCCTTTGCTGTGGTGAAAACAGCTAGTGAGATGGAACGGGTCCGGTGAGTGCTCCGCCCCACTGGCAATGTCTGGCACAGGATTGACAGGGCAGAGAACATTTACACTTTGGGAGACAGGTTATTATCCCTGCTTAGGGCAATTGTTATCTCTATTCAAGGCAGGTTATTATCCCCACAGCTCCTTCTACTATTTTTATTATTTATTTTTTTAGTGGTACTGGGGATTGAACCTGACTGGGGCTTATGAATGCTGTATCTCTGAGCTATATCTCCAGTCCTTTTTAAAATGTTTATTTTGAAACAGGATCTCATTCAGTTGCTGAAACTGGCCCCAAATTTGTTATCCTCTTACCTCAGCCACCAAAATAGCTGGGATTACAGATGTGCACCACCGTGCCAGCGTTGTTCCTGCTTTTAAACAGCTGGTTAATCAGCTAGGAAACAGTTCATTTTTTTTCATTCTAGCCATCATAATTTTATTAGCTTCATTTTCTGGTCTTTGTAGACCCAGGGTCATTAGAAACTATTTTTAGATTCAAAGCTATATTTGATATTGTTCTCCTCAGGGGAACCTGAAAGAGATTTGGGTGGTCTTTTAGATAGCTTGGTGGGTGATTTCTCACCCTTTGTTGTCTTTGGAACTGGACAATAGAGATTTCAATTTGCTAAGTGTTATTTATTGAGCCTTCAGGATCAAAACACTCATGGGAGACTGAGATTGTGGATTAGTGGTAGAGCACTCGCCTGGCATGTGTGAGGCACAGGGTTCTATCCTCAGCACCACATAAAAATAAATAAATAAAAATAAAGGTATTGTGTCCATCTACAACTAAAAAAACAAAAACAAAACCTACACATGGTAGGCCAAAGATGTAGCTCAGTAGCAGAGTGCTTGCCTAGCATGCATAAGGCCCTGTATTCAATTCCCAGCACTGCAAAAAGAAAAAGGAGAAAAAAAAAAAAAAAAAGAAAGAAAAGACATAGAAATAAAACAGAAAATCCTACTTATTTTGATATATTGTTTTCTTTTGATCCTTTTGCTATTGAGTTGGATATGTTCTGATTTTCTGGTTTCAACTATGTTGCTTGATACTGGTATTGTTCATTGCCACAAGAGCACATACTTCTTGCCAGTGTAGCTGCTATATAAGGGAAGAAGAACTGAACCTTCGGTAGAAAACAGGAGCATTCTGTGATTTACTATGAAGTGGCTCTTAGATATGAACAGATGTGTACTTAATAATGCTGCCTTCTCAGATGCAAACCAGGTGTTTTTCAGAAGTGAAATTGTTATTTTTGTAATATGCATTCCTTTACTTTGGCACGAAATATTTAGCCTTATTGTTTAAGTCTCTTAATATTTTGAAAGCATGAAGTGTATACCTAGGTAATCCCACAATTGTTGTGAATTAGAAGATAGTTTCTCTTCTCAGTTAACATAATCTCTCTATGTATGTCTTTATTTCTTTCTTCTGTAATTCCAGTCTGGTGAGATTTGATCCACTTGGACACTATTTACTCACAGCAATTGTTAACCCCTCTAATCAGCAGGTAAGAGTCCAGCAGTTTCAATTCCATCTGAACTCTGAGTTACTTTCTAAATGAGAACTTTAATTCTGATTGGATTGGATTTCAGTTCTCAGAATCTGGATCTTTTTTTCTAGTCAGAACTTTATTTCGGATTATATAGTTAGAGTTACAGCCATAATCTCGACAGTAGAGTCAATTCTTTTATTTTTATTTATTTTATATATATATACATATATATAAAATAAATAAAATATTTTATATATATATATATATTTTATATATGTATCAGTCGAATGCATTACGATTCATATTACACTTATAGAGCACATTTTTTCATATCTCTGGTTGTATATAAAGTATATTCACACCAATTCATGTCTTTATACATGTACTTTGGATAATGATGTTCATCACATTCCACCATCATTTCTAACTCCCTGACCCCTCCTTTCCCCTCCTACCCTCCTGCTCCCTCTCCCTACCCCACTATGAATCAGACTCCTTATATCAGAGAAAACATTTGGCATTTGTTTTTTTTGGGATTGGCTAACTTCACTTAGCATTATCTTCTCCAACGCCATCCATTTACCTCCAAATGCCGTGATTTTATTCTCTTTTATTGCTGAGTAATATTCCATTGTGTATATATGCCACGTTTTTTTTTTATCCATTATCTTCTGAAGGGCATCTAGATTGGATCCACAGTTTAGCTATTGTGAATTGTGCTGCTATAAACATTTATGTGGCTGTGTTCCTGTAGTACACTGTTTTTAAGTCCTTTGGGTATAGACCAAGGAGAGGGGATAGCTGGGTCAAATGGTATTCCAAAAAATATGGAACGCTTCACGAATTTGCATGTCATCCTTGCGCAGGGGCCATGCTAATTTCTGTATTGTTCTGATTTTAGTATATGTGCTGCTGAAACGAACACAGTAGAGTCAATTCTTAACATCCCCTCCAAGTGATTGCCTCATTAAAAGTAACACTTGTCGTCAATATGGAGTGTTGAATAGCTTATCACTCGTGTGTCTCTGGCTGCTTTACATTGAGTTTCCCCTCACTACTTTTATGTCATGGAGATGCCTTTCATAAGAGAATTGGTTTGCTATCTGTACTCATTCAAATATGTTGCTAATTGCAAGTGAGTAATTGAACATAATGATGATTCTGAATCTGAAGTCTATTAGTACTTAGTACTTCAAGAGTAGAAAGTTGTTGCTCATCTAAGAAGGTGGTTCTCTTTGGAGATTAGTGGTTGTTTTTCTTGATTTACTTGGAATTTCTACCTAACTGCCTTTCTCTACCCTTGCCCCACACTGGTTCATGTTGCAGGGTGATGATGAACCAGAAATTCCTATAGATGGAACAGAATTATCCCACTACCGTCAACGTGCTCTCCTGCAATCACAGCCAGTTCGTCGGACGCCTCTCCTCCATAATTTCCTGCACATGCTGTCCTCCCGCTCCTCTGGCATCCAGGTGGGAGAGCAAAGCACAGTGCAAGATTCTGCTACCCCCTCACCCCCACCGCCTCCCCCTCAGCCCTCCACGGAGCGCCCCAGGACTTCCGCTTACATCAGGCTCCGACAGCGGGTCAGTTACCCCAACACAGTTGAGTGCTGCCAGCACCCTGGGATCTTGTGCCTTTGCAGCCGCTGCTCTGGCACTCGAGTTCCTTCCCACTTGCCACACCAGGACAGTGTCCCCCCTGCTTCTGCCAGAGCTACTACCCCTTCCTTTTCTTTTGTACAGACCGAGCCCTTCCATCCCCCGGAGCAGGCCTCGTCAACGCAACAGGACCAGGGCCTCCTGAACCGGCCGTCTGCCTTCAGTACGGTCCAGAGCAGCACTGCTGGCAACACGCTCCGCAACCTCAGTCTGGGTCCCACCCGTCGCTCTTTGGGAGGCCCTCTGTCTAGCCACCCTTCTAGGTATCACCGAGAAATAGCCCCTGGGCTGACAGGATCTGAGTGGACCCGGACAGTACTCAGTCTGAACTCACGCTCTGAGGCGGAATCCATGCCCCCACCCAGAACCAGTGCCTCCTCAGTGAGTTTGCTGTCTGTGTTGAGACAGCAGGAAGGTGGCTCTCAGGCGTCTGTGTATACTTCAGCCACAGAAGGGAGGGGTTTTCCAGTGTCAGGGTTGGCAACTGAGTCAGATGGAGGGAATGGCTCCAGCCAAAACAACTCAGGCAGCATTCGCCACGAGCTTCAGTGTGACCTGAGACGCTTCTTTTTGGAATATGACCGGCTGCAGGAGCTGGACCAGAGCCTCAGTGGGGAAGCTCCTCAGGCCCAACAGGCCCAGGAAATGCTCAACAATAACATTGAATCTGAGAGGCCAGGCCCTTCCCACCAGCCCACTCCACACAGCAGTGAGAACAACTCTAACCTGTCCCGTGGCCACCTGAATCGCTGCCGAGCTTGCCATAATCTCCTGACCTTCAACAATGATACCTTGCGTTGGGAAAGAACCACACCTAACTACTCATCTAGTGAGGCTAGCTCCTCTTGGCAGGTCCCCACCTCCTTTGAGGGCATGCCATCAAGTGGCAACCAGTTACCACCTCTTGAGCGGACTGAAGGCCAGACGCCCAGCTCCAGCAGGCTGGAGTTGAGCAACTCCGCTAGTCCACAGGAGGAGAGGACTGTGGGGGTGGCCTTTAACCAGGAGACAGGCCACTGGGAAAGAATTTACACCCAGTCCAGCAGATCTGGAACTGTATCACAGGAAGCCTTACATCAGGACATGCCTGAGGAAAGCTCAGAGGAAGATTCCCTCAGGAGGTAAGCCGTTGCTTTCCTCTGCATCCCTGCCTTTTCTCCTCATATCTTTTCCTTCAGTCCTATAGATGGTGTGGCTCTAGCTGAAGTGTCTTGGACCCACGCATCTGGTTCTGATCTCCTCATTGCATCATCTTAGGAAATTTTTCTCTGGTGGCAGAGATATGATTGGGTCTAGGATGAGTCAGTTGGCAGTACTAGATCTATTTCTGGCTAAATCCAAGGCCCTGGTTTTGGCCTTGAAAAGAGTGTAGATAGGTTAGAGAGGCATGAGGAGATAGAACTATTGACCTCTGCCCTGCTTTTTGACCTTCTTAAGGATTGTATATGTATGAGTAGTTACTATGAGGTAAGAAAATGTCTTAGAGTGTCTGGGAATAAGTGGCAAAAAAGAACTCCTCTTGGTTTAGATTAGTATATTGTACTGGCTCTGTATGTTGTTCTCATTACCTTTTGGAATACTGCAGCTTGACAAAGGGCAAAGACACACACACACTCACACACACACACACAGATATTTATGTAAAGTAAGTAAAATTCAAAAACATTTTCCAGGGGTGTGTGTGTGTGTGTGTGTGTGTGTGTGTTTGGTACTGGGGTTTGAACCCAAGGATGCTTTACCACTGAACTATATCCCTGGTCCTTTTTTATGTTTTATTTTGAGACAGGGTCTTGCTAAATTGCTGAGTCTGGCTTTGAATTTGTGATCTTCTTGCCTTGGCCTTCTCAGTTGCTGGGATTACAGGCAGGTGCCACCGTACCTGGCCAGATGTATGTCTTTAGATAGCACCCAAGTTGCTCAACTAAAATTTTTTGTTGTGGTATTTTTGTTTGTTTCTGAGAATTTTTATTTATTTATTTTAAGATGGGGTTTCCCTGTGTTGTTCAGGCTGGTCTTGAATTCTGGACTCAAGTGATCCTCCCACATCAGCATCCTGGAAAACTGAGATGATAGGTGTGTGACACCCTCCTTTTCTTGGTGCTGGGGATTGAATTTAGGGCCTCCTCTATGCTCAGCACACACTCTACCACTTAGCTACATCCAAAGCCCCAGGATTCTTTGACTGGACCTTTCAGATGGACATTCACCCTGGCGTGGGAAAAAGGAATTCATGGAAGGAAGGCTTCTCTATACATGGATTGGCATCCTGGCCAACTCTTTGATGAAAGAAACAAGAGTGGGTGTAGTTGATCGCCCACTACGTGTTCCATGAATGGCTACGTACGCATCTATCTTGATTTATTAGGGACTTCTTTCTGTAATTTTATAAAGGTCAAATCTAGCATAATCACTAGCTCCCAGAATATGCCTGTTGGATCCAAACAGCATATTATTCTGCATTATACCTCTGCTGAAGCAACTGAAATTTCTCTGCCATAAGCTTCTAACAAGGGGAGGAATATGGATTATGCACATAATGTACTTGTTATTTTGGGAGGTTACTTTAGACAGACAATAAGCATTAGTTGAATGGTTATGATTTTTCCAGCACTGTGTTAGACACTTAGAGGTACTGTGCCCACTGGAGTATACAGTGTTATTATAATGCAAGACTTATTTATATGAAATTTATCAAAAATTTAGATGATCAGCCAGGTGTGGTAGCACAGGCCCATAATTCTCACCACTCAGGAGGCTGAGGCAAGAGGATCACAAATTCCAGTGCAGACCAGGTAAATTTAGTGAGACTCTGTTTCACAATTTAAAAAGACTGTGGATGTAGGTCAATCTATGTGGTCCTGTGTTCAATCCACAGTTCCACCAAAAAAAGAAAAAGTATAGGTGACCAAGTGCTTCCTTGTGTGGTACTGAGATTAAATGTAGCCTAAACAAACAACAATAATAAAAAAGGTAATCATTTTAGAGAAAGTGGTGCGGTGACATCAAGCAAGAATTAACAAAATGCATCTTGAAAAATGGTAGGATTTAGACAAAGACCTTTGTATTAGGGGCTCAGCAATACTAAAGGACTCAAGTGTATGGTGTATGTAAGCAGTTACTAAGGGGACCGAGGGAAGCTTGGCTGGATATGAAGGGTAGGCCAAACTAATGGAGAATTGTCACTGTGTCCAAATGAGTAAGACCAGTCCTGGATGAACAAACAGCTCAGTTCCTGGTTTTGGAATATTTTGTCTTGCATAATGGCCCTTATCAAAAGTTTAGGATTCTGTTCTCTTTGTCAAGAACGATGAGAAGGATCCAGCATAGCGCTGACATGTAGTAGACTTTTGAAGTTTAGTAAAGGCAGCCATAAAAGAACTGTCTTGTTATTGTTCTAGCAGTTCTTGCCTCCATGGTAGCATTGGGCTTCTGGTCAGTTTTTGTTCATTCTGTTCTGATAGTCCTTCTTCTTGTGGTATTCTTGTGAGCAATCCTCAAGTAGTTAAAATAAACTCTACTGCATGATGATAATTTCAGATACCAATTACTGAGTGCCTACTATGTGTTAGGAACTGATCTTTCTTTTTCTTTTCTTTTGTACTGGGGATTAAGCCCAGGGGTGCTTAACCACTGAGCCACATCCTCGGCAATTTTTATAGACAGTCTTGCTAAGATGCTGAGGCTAGCTTTGAACTTGCGATCCTCCTGTCTCAGCCTCTAGAGCCACTGGGATTACAGGCATGTACTACTGCACTTGGCAGGAACTGATCTTTCTTTGAAGTAATTTTGGGGAGATTAATGAGGTGAAGTCATTATTTCTAATTTCTATAACTCTGTTCAAGGCAGGTGTTATGTTTCCTATTTTGCTATAGAAAAGCAAGACTCTTAGCAGAGTCAGAATTTCTCGTAAAAACTTATATAGTAGGTCTCTGAGGATTTGAACTCTGGTCTACATGACAGGACTTTGACCAAACTGCCACCTAACATTCCTTACTATGATAACCTCATTTTTTTTCTTTTTATGGACACAATATCTTTATTTTATTTATTTATTTTTATGTGGTGCTGAGGATTGAACCCAGCGCCTCATGCATGAAGGTAAGCACTCTACCACTATGCTACAACCCCAGCCCCAGATGATAACCTCATTGTTAAGTGACCCTTTTGTTTTTCCTTCCTTGTAACTTTTTATTATGGAACTCTTCAAACATAAAAATAAAGAGAAAAGTGTACTAAATGAACTACCATGTACTTTTAGTTTTT